CAGTCACCATTTGTCCTTACATACACTAAAACAGATGGGAATTTAAAACTTATACAAGAGACATCTTTCTCTTGGGTTAGAGATGCCTAATACATCATTTCTACAGGATTAATTTTTTAAAAAAATTATATGAACACATGACCCTTTGCATTATATGGATTAGAAAATTCTTTAAGAAGGAAGAACATTAAAATACCATGTAGTTGGTTTTTGTGAAATTGTCTGTTTTAAATTGAATACTCACTAGTATTCACGTTGGTATTTGGGGAATTAACAGTATGTTAAAACTCACTCTCAGTTGTAGCTGTGACTGTGTTTATCTGATTTCAGTTTTATTTGGGCACTCTAAAATGGAAGGGCAAACATTTAGTCTTAGTATCTTTTAAAATTCTAAAAAAGGGTATTTCCTTTTCAAAAATGTAAAAATTCTAAGAATTCATGGTAAAATCGTGTTGAGGATTTGGAAAGTGAACAGAACAGTAAAGGTGTTTAGGACAGCAATAAATGAGACCCCGTCTATCCATTTTCATTGGGAAAAAATGGAATAGGGACTGCAATTTTACTAACTTTGCAAATAACTCAGAACGTTCATTTTCTCACTTCAATGTTGTTTCCTTAACTTCAATATCAGAAAGCATTATGTAAAATATTATAAAATATAATGCCTCCTTTTCCTAACTTAAAATATTTCCTTTTATATTATTCTTTTTTGATTTTGGCTTTTGTATTTTCTTAAAAATGCTTTTATTTACATTTTAACTTTGAACACACTCAAAATTAATTTTATAGCTTTAATTAAAAAGTGTTCCAAACTATTTTTCTTAAATGTGCGTCTGCCTGTGCCATCAGTCCTTCTAAAAAAAAGCTTTAAAATGTTATCTTCATTAACACATAAGCAAAGCATTAGCCAGTACTCTAAAGGGAAGCCTGTTTTTTGAATAGTTAAAAGTGGTAACAACTACTTTCTGCTGATCTGTGTGCAGGTGTCAGAAATCACTGTTAATTCAACCTGTATGGTAAAATTCTGATAACCCAGATTTCTGAGAAGCTGCTTTCAACATCTTTAATGTCTGAGTTTTTCCCCCAGTTCTTGACTATTACTTCCTTCTACCTTTGCTACTGCATGAACGCATTTTAAATTATGAATTATCTAATTAGAATAGACATATTTTGAGATAATGCATTATATCATATTTAACTTCTGAAGCACTTCAGGACAAAAGGTGATGAGAGAATGTGTGGCTGGTACAGTCTCTCCCCTGCAGACGCAGCAAGCCACCCAGGCCGATTTTCCTGCCTCTCCTTAAGCCTCCTCCCACCACAATCTGCCACCAAGGCCTTTACAGTAAACTGCTTGTGCTCAGAGCTAGGGACGCTGGTCCTTGAAAGTTTTCGAGATTAATTTGGATTTGGCAAATGTCAAGTAGGACTTTGTGGTTAAATAATGCCAGATTATAGGACTTCTAGAATAAATGAAACCATATCTCTAAATATAATCTATATCTTTGCTGCATGCTTGCTTTTTAGTAGAGCTTCAAACAGTGAAAATGCCTATGATGATTGTTAAAATGAATAGTTACTACATGCTCTCCTCAAAGTCCTTAACTTGTATTTATTAAAGCGATTGTACATATGATGGTGTGGTTATTACCAAACACATAAAAATTATCATAATCAACCCTTGCTTTAACAGTTTGCAGCTTAACAGTGCTAAAAATAACAAATAATGGACATAGTATTAACGTTACTAAAAATCAGCAAAAATTTACATATTAGAAAACATGTTTAGAAACACGTATCTAATGGAAGCCTCACAGTGTCAACTGCTCCTTGCCCTTCGCAATCTGCCCCCTAGCCTAAGAAATCTTACTTTTAGCTGTTTATTATTTTGGATAATGTCTAGAGGGTGGGTTATTCCTAAATATTAGATGTAATTTTAAATTAATGACTTTATCCTAAACTCACACTGTACCATGTTTTTGACTACAGTTGTTTCACACATTATTTTGGGGTAATTTCTCATAGCTTCCCAGACATGTTGCCCCATCTGAGTGACTACTTGGAATTCTAGTCAAGCCTCACATTTTAAGCAAGAGATAATTTGCCAAATTTAACTATATACATAAAATATAAAAGGTGGGATGACACAAGAATTTTAAAACATATGAGCTCTAATTAATTTCAAATTATTTCATTGAATCTCCAGAGAACAAGAGAGGAAAGAGTAAGTGTTAATAGTTTACATTTTCATTATTATACAACAGATACTTTTTAAAATGTAGTTAAAATTTCAAACATGAATTACAGCCAATTGACCTTTTTCCTTTTCTATTATTTTCTACATATTTTTTACTATCACATAGTGGCGAAATGTAAAAAATGTTTATTCTGATTCAATCTGGAAAGCAAAGTTAACTGCAGAAAAGCAACTGAAAGGTCTTGGAATGAATCTGAGAAATGCCTACCTATGGCAAGGCTCTTGCTTGTTATTCACATAAAAGGAGGGAGATAATGTTTAGAGTTTCAGGTAGGATTGTTGTATTTCTGCTGTCAATGTGAGGCTGCTGATGGTCACATTACATCACATTAGATGCTAGTTTTTAACACTGCTTTTATTAACAAGTCAGCCTCTAATGTGAAAGGATTAGTGCTTCTAAACTGCAAATTATACTGCCAAAACTAGGAGTCATGGTGAATGAAAAAACAGCTACATTTCAACATACCAGTATTTCCCAAAGTGAATTATGTAGAACACAAGTTCCTTGGAATGTTACTAGGTGTTACTCAAAAAACCTTCTGTGGTCAAATTACTCTGGAAAACACAGTGCTAATTGAAAGTACATATTGTGATGTGTTTTCCCCTCTCTCACAGGACATTTAAATTAGAGCCTTTGATGTGCTCTTATGCATTAACTTTCTAAAATAGTATGTGCTTCCTAAACTCATTTGACACTGAAACCCTATATTTGGAAGAGCATCTTTGGAACCTGTGTTCTTTGGAACATACTTTGAGGAACACTAGATTCTGTTACTTCTGCAGTGTGTAGCTAACTAGCTGAAAAGTCTAGATATCAATGATTTAATCCAGAGGCAATTAAACAGGCATGATATCTAACAGTCATATAATTTCTCCAGAGCTGGATCAGGAATGCTGGTGTGATGTGCTAAAGCAATTTTGGGGGAATACTAAGGGAAAATCAGTCTAATGATGGATCGAAAGGAAGGAAGAAGAATTTCTAAAATCATTAGAAAAGAATGTTTTATACAAAGTATGTATTCCTATACTTTGAAATGTACAATGAAATAGTGCCTTTCTAAACATAGACCTTTCATTAACCCAGTTGCAAAATAGATATGGCAACAACTCAGAGAGAAAAAAAATCAGGAAAATCAAGGTATATCTGGCAAACAAAAAAGTGTTCATTGCATCTGTGAATCACTCATGTATTTCCAAATATATCAGTTATCCAATCTAATAGTGTAATCAAATTCCTAGAATCATTTCAGATTGGACTAAAATGATAATGCCATCACTCTCATGCAATTCTGTTGAAATAATTACACTTGTATGAAATGAGGCCTGTTTTAAATTATCCAGCTCACATATGCTCCTTCACTATAACACTCTCTGTGTAATACTCTTACAACACATACAGGATTCAAGAGGCCAATACCTCAATGCACAGCAAGGAACAGAATGTAGCCAGTGGTTACCATAATACATACATATGCATACAGTTTCATTGTATTAGAACAGTGATTGAGGGTTAATTGTCTTGGGCAAGTTGGTCACATAAAATAAATTCGGGTCTTGGGAACTAGCTTTGGACCTTTCTATGCAAGTGTTGTTTATTCCTATGATTAAAGAATTGCAAGTACAATGAATGTTTAAAAAATTTTCCTTGGCTGCCTGTCCCCCACCCCCAACCCATGTTAAGAGTACAAATTGCCCGTGGAGCAGCAACACAGCAGTGCACCAATGAGGATCTGGGCTTGGCATCTTGCTGGGGGCTCACGAGTATGTGGTTGTTCCCGGCTTCATTTCTAAAAGACTGTAAAACCATCCCAAAATTTGGCACCATGGGGACTATTGGCAATTTGAACTCAGGCTAGCTAGGGAGTCTGGGCAGCCTTGGGTGACAATTCCAAAGCTTCGGCAGTGATGTTTGGGGAAGCTTCACATGCAAACTTCTCAAATCAATTTCCCTAGGGCTAGATTCCTGGGTCCCTAGAGAAGGGGAACAGCCAGTGAACCTTAGGGCACCCTAAGAACAATGTGTGCAGACCCACAACAGCTTGAAAAGGATCAGGAGAGAGAGCTCTAGGAGGACATGGGGGAAGGGAACAAAATACTCTGATTTAGGCATAACTATCCTAACTATTAATCAGACTGCTACTATTTTGCCTAGAACTTCTATCTTTTATAAATCTACAAGCCATAGTGGGGGAAAAGAGGCAGAAAGGGAATAGAAAATATATGCACTATTTGGTTAAAGTCAGAAATGAATTCATTCTACAAAGTAAAATTTAGAAGATGCTTTGTGAACCTCAATTAGAGGGAAACGTAGGTAACTCGTGCACTCAGCATCACCTATTAAGAAATTTTGCAGTAAACGCTAATTTACTAATTTAGTAGCTTTTCTTTTTCATCTTCATCAAAACATTACTATTTCCATTTTAGACAATAAAAATGATTGTGAAGTTTAAAAATGTCTTTCCTTTATTGTTATACATTTGTATGTTAAGTGAAAAATAAAAATAGAAAGTTGACTACGGATTGTAAAATGGTGACACCATTGATTCCTGACTTCAGTTAGATGGTGGGCTGTGGTCACTCTCCAGAGTCAGAACGTCCTAAAACTCCAAGCAGACTCAGCCCCCTGACCTGACTGTCTCAGGACGGATCACGAGCAGCCTTTGTTTTCCACTCTCCCCTCCCCGTTCCCACCCTAAATACACACATCCAAATGTCCAGTGTCTCTCAATAGACAAATGCTTAAATCTAAAATGGTGGCAGATATTTTGTACTAGAACATTCTATGTATGGCTAGAAAACAATAACTGGGGTTCTAATTCTAATATTTAAACACATAGTATACAAAAGTAAGCAAATTTCTTGGGAAACCATTAGTAATTTTCAGTACAAAGGAAAGTGTTTGGAGGAATCAGGACAGATTGCATTCCCTGGCAGCCATAGGCAATATTTTCATTCTCCAGAGTTCTCTCCTGCAAACAGCTCTGGGAAAGAAAGCTCTACAGTTGAGGGAGGGCAGAGGCGAGGCACCACGGGTAGGAGGTGCCCAGTCAATGGGGCCTGCAAGAAGCTGTAACAGCAAATGCCCACTCGGGAAGAACAAAACCACGTGGACACAGAGGGATGGGGACACAAAAAAATCTTGTCTAGCTGTTTAAGCCGCCTTAGTTAGGCAAAGACAAATGACCCAGCATTTTCTCTAAATTAACTTATATAATACTGAGGTTGGAAAAATGAGACTTTGGTGACAGGAAATGGAGAACAGTAAGCCAGGTCCTCAAATAACTCTGGGCCACTTATCAATATGGGCAAACACTTGAATTCCCATTTAGTGTTGTTGCCACGGCACCCAAGTCCCCCAGGTGTCCCTTGGTTGCCTCCCCTGCAGGCAGCGTGGAGTGGTCTGTGTTTGTCCAGCAAAAGCTACCAGTGTGGATTGGTATTTGCAACCAAATGTTAAAGGCTGCTAACTTTCACTGTCAAGGAGAAGCACATTCCAGTAATTTCCCACCAAACTCCAAACTGCAATGACAGGGAACTCTGCACACTTCAAGGAATACACATGCAGTTCTAGGCTGCTGCTTCCCAGAACACTGCTTGAAAGCCACTTAAAAGCTACGAGGATGGAGGTGGGGGTCACACAAAAACTGCAGCTGGGGCTCCATTCGGGGTGGTAACCTCACAGCTCGCTCCTTTCTCTCAGTGCAAACGGCCTACTTCCCAAGGGGCACTGTGACTCGTTCATCATTGTTTTCCTCGATCTACCCTTAAAGATGGAAGAAATTATGGAATTGTGACTTGCTTTTTTCATTTCCCCTAACATGGTTTTTTGGTGATGTAAGACAAAAAATCATGGTGTCTGGTGGTGAAGTAAACAGCTGCCTAGTACATACAGTAAGGTCTAAGCAAAAGGTTAAGGTCATGCATGATTAGGATAAACTCACAAAGGCTGGCCAGGTGGTATACAAAGTCTATTTAACTAATAAAGGGAGTGAGGGAAGAGGGTTATTTCTGCTGTGTAGGTGGCTGCCACTGATTCTCCGTGCTTCCCTCTGTCTCCAAGAACAGCCACCGAATAATAAACCACTCCAAACCCGCTTCGGGGCTGCTGCTGAGCAGAACTCCTGGGCTCAGGAGGAGAAAGCACTCTCAGGATAGTTCTGCTTCTCCGCAGAAGATGTGGCCACTTCAGCACCTGACCATGCATGGCAGCCTGGCTCCTGTAGCACTGGGAGGCCTGCCCTTCCCACTGTTCCAAAGAGAGGACACAATGGCTGATGTCTGGAGGACCCTGAACAGGATGTTGAAAAAAATCTTAAAAGGGAAACTACACGGCATGTACATTAATCACTTCATACATGTGAATCTACAGCTACTTATATACTTTGGACATTGGATGAACGTGTTGGGAAAACATGAAGAAACCACTTTTCAGCTTCTCAACTGCATTGGCCAAGAGTACCCTCTGTTCATCACTGAATACAGACCTAAGACCACCAGGGAGAGGGGAATTCCGTGTCTGGGATGGATGATCCTAATTACAAGTCTCACACCTTTTACTATATTAAAAGAGACCAGTGTGTTGAAAGTCCTTTAGTCTAAGGCAGCTGAGACCCCTGAAGGGTTCACTGCTCTTCTGTTTTGCTGCTATTCCTGAACTTCACCACCATGACTGTTATATTGTCAGGGCAACCTCTGTAAAATGACTGTAAAACTATGCTCTTGGCCCCAAAGTGAGGTTCATCCAAGCGTTCCTTGATGAATCGAACTGCTTCTTCATTGCTGAAAGCATCCCAGAGGCCATCTGATGCCAAAATCATGAATTCAGGCTGGAGCTTGTCCAGGTCAAAGGTCAGGATATCTGGGTCTGGAATGACAACGTTGAGATTTTTCAGTGGATAATCCCCCAGTGACCGAGACATGGCCAGGATTCCCTGGACCCTCCAGGAGCCATTGAAACTGATGAAACCACCTAGAAAGAGAGAATGAGCCCATTAGCTTGAGCAGCTGGTACAGTTTGGGTACGTGCACAACAGGCTGACCTACTGCATGTGAGCTGGGCCAGGGACATCCCCTCACCCCTGTCACTCTCAGGACTGAGCAGCATCCTGCTGCATGACTCAGGGTTTGATACTTTACCGGTTGATCCTCATGCTCTCATTCCTGGCATCTTGAAGGCCTTTAAGAATGTATCAGTAAGAGTATTGAAGGTAGGGGACAGGTATGGGGGAGGGCATCGGTTTTAACTCAACACCATGGCAGCTCAGTGATTGACAGTGGAGAGTACCAGGGTAGGGATTTGAGGAGATCGGCAAAGGAATGCTAAAAGGCTGGTGGACAGGCACTAGAGACATCATTGGTATATATCGTTTAGCCTGAGGCCATTCTTGGGTGTGCCTACATAGATTTCAACACAGCCCCCAAATAGGATTGGGATTAAGGAAAAGCACATATTAGTGCAGTTGTTAAAGGACCAGGTTAGACTGCTTGGATTTGATTCCCAGCTCTGTGACTTCTAGCCATATCTGACTTTGGATGAGAAACTCCTTCTGATCCTGTCTGCCTGGCTGTAAAATGGGGATAATATCCATTCCATTGGGAGTTGTTGAAAAATAAAGGAGTTATCCCATAAATCACTTAGTATAGTGCCTGAACATGATATGTACTCGATAATATCTATTATTATTTTTTCTTTAAAGGAGCTAGAATTTTGTTCATTCACGTATTTGTCAGATATTTACTAAATACCATTCCATGCAAGGCAATTTGCAGGATGTGAAGTTATATAAGATTCAGATCTTTCTCTAAAGAAGTAGACAGCCCACCAGGAGAGACAAGCACAAAGTGGTTGTCAAAGGGGGAGACTAGTATCTGCTACATGCTGGGCAGATGGAAGGGGGTGGGATGATTTCTGCTTGTGATGATCAGGGAGGAGCGAGAATTAAAATTGGGCTTTCAATGATGGGTAGGACTTCTATGGGTGTAAATCTAGGAGAACATTCTAGGAAGTATGGTCTAGTGGGCAAGAGCATGGGCTCTGGAGTTACACGGTCCTGCGTTTTAATTCTGGTCTCACCATTCACTAGCTGTGTGTCCTTGGAGCACACAAGCCTCTTTAACATTCCATTTTGTTGGCTGCAAAATGAGAATATTACCAACCTCATAAGACAGGTAAAGAGAAAAGTATGTGTGTAAAGCACCAGGCTTCGTTCCTAACACAGAGTGAGCACACAGTGAATGGCAGCTGATGTTGCTGTTAATATTGGAAACAGCACAAGGACTGGAGACAGAAAGACCAGTATGTATTTGGCCCAGACTGGCTGGAGCTTGTTGTTATACTAAGCAGGAAGGGGAAAGATGTCCTGAAAGGAAGGCTGGGGTCAGAGAAAACCAATCATTGTTCCTTAAGCCCTGCTATAAAATATACCATTGACAAACTACATAAAAGAACAGAGCAGGTTAGATTAACCTCCTTAGAGATGGCGTCCAAATTTCCTTTTATGAAGAATCACTGTAGGGTGGGGGCGTGGGTGGTGGGTATGGCAGGGAAGAGGAGAGAGGATAAAGTGGCCATGATGTTTCAGAAGAGAGCACTGAATGCTAAGATGGCATTTCCAGGTATATTGTGTACGCGTCCTTGCCTGTGCTCATGCAAGAGTGGGCTCATTGCATCTTAAGTCCAGGCTCACAGAGGACTTACAGGGAGATGATGTCTTAAGTAAGGAAACCAGAGTATTTCGCTCATTCTGCCTAGAGCTCATCAAAGCTGAAAAGATGCTCCTAAAACATCATTTGTTCCATCCCATCAACAGAAAACCTACCAAAGTTTTCATTAAAAATTATTCTGCATCTCAAGCAGGCACTGAAGCAGGAAGTTGTAATAAAATTCAACACATTTTGACTTAACAGTACAGCTTCCTACTGTGAAAACTCAAATGTTGATTAGGTTCATTTCCTTCATTCTTTGGGCAGAAACTGACCTGTAGAGACTGAGAGTCAATCTGCAGATTAACCCAGACAGCAGGGGTTCATCTGGTCAGAGACTAGCCTGTGTGAGCATCCCACTCGCCCCCCTAGGCAGCTGGCCTGCTGCCTGGCGTATCATAAAGAACCGACATGCTGCAGCTGTCAGTCTGGGGAGTAAAAGAATTTTTCCCTTCCACAGGTATAAAGGCATCCTCCCATATCTAATTATGAAAATATAATAATCAATCGATAATCTTCTGAGTCTTTGTCCAAATGTCACCTTTGTAAGGCCTACATGGACTATCCTACTTAAAACTGCGCTGACACTCCCTATTCCCTTACCTGCTTCTTATCTCTTCATGACAGTTATCACCTTGTCATACACTATTTAACTAGCTTATTTATTTATTTTTTTTGAGACAGAGTCTCACTCTGTTGCCCGGGCTAGAGTGCCGTGGGATCAGCCTAGCTCACAGCAACCTCAAACTCCTGGGCTCAAGCGATCCTACTGCCTCAGCCTCCCAGTAGCCGGGACTACAGGCATGAGCCACCATGCCCGGCTAATCTTTTACATATATATTGGTAGTTGTCCAGCTCATTTCCTTCTATTTTTAGTAGAGACGGGGTCTCGCTCGTGCTCAAGCTGGTCGTGAACTCCTGAGCTCAAACGATCTACCCGCCTTGGCCTCCCAGAGTGCTAGGATTATAGGCGTGAGCCACCGCGCCCGGCCCATAACTAGCTTATTTTTATCTATTTTTTTGATTAATGTCTATCTACTCCATTTCCTACCTCCAAGCCAATTTCAGAATTAAGTTTCATGAGGGCTTGGGGAGGGGGCATTGTTATAGTGCCAGCACCTAGAATGTTGAATAAATGAATGAATAAGGGACCTCTCCACCCTCCATTGTGCTCTGAAATACTTACTTATACCAGGCAGTGAGCTAGGTGCTGAGGTACGGAGATGAAAAAGATCAAGCTTCTGTCCTCCAAGAGGTGACAGGAAGGCAAGACAAATAAGAGAGCTAAGTATGCCCATGCACTGTGAAAGATGACTCAGGATATCCACATAGGATGCTGGGAAAAGGCAGAGGGACATCCAACCCAGATTGGGAGAGGCTTTGCCACAGTGTGACAGCGAGTGTTTCCAAAAGGACACCCTTAAATTGAATTCTATGGGACAAATAATTTTCACCCCCTTGGACAGTAGGAATAGGACTTGCAAAGGTACAGAGATAACAGAAACAAGGGTCTTTTGGGGAACCTTTTAGTAGTTTAGCATGGCTGGAGGGAAGCTGGGTATGGCAAGAGGGGAGAATAAGGTAGGAACCAGGGACCCAAAGATCTTATTAGCCTTTAAACTGGAAAGTGATTTTTTGGGCCTTTTAAAATCTTTGGTCATGGAGAAGGGCAAATTCAGTACAAAGTCAGGTCTCAGCTGCCTCACCAGCAGCCTCTGTATTGATCTAATCTCTGGGTACTGAACATTTTATCCTTCAGGAGCTCTCTAAGTAAGACTCCTTGCCCCTGAACACGATGGCAAACATTCCTTGCAGGTGTTCGCAAGCTCACCAGCTCTTTTTATCCTCTTTCTTTCCTTCAGTTGGTAAGGCTTGTGATCATGAGACAAAGGAATGGCATTCCCATCTTTGTCACACAGGACTCCTCTTGAGTCACCCACGTTGGCCACAGTGAGGTCTTTATCTGATAGTAGAGCAATCAAACACGTTGTGCCTGCAAAACAGAAGAGAGAGGCAATGTGGGAGGTCAGCAATGCATAGAAGTTTGGTTGCTTCTTGTGGTTAGTGGATTCTTCAGTCATTAAAACTGCTCCTGCTGGGTGAGAATTTGACTCCAGTCACTTTGGGAATGATGGTTATTTACTTCAACAGCACTGATCAAATCTGACAGTCAATTTTCTTAACCATGTTAGAGTGTCACTGAAACAGGCTAGGATAACATTATCATTTTCCTAAATCATTTTGTCTCTGCTACTCTTTTTTTTTTAAGCTTCTGCCCTGGACATGCTACTCTTAATTTAAACACATATCATATTTAAAAGGATTAGGAAAGAATAAAAATCAGTTTGAAGCTTCAGACAACCGATACAGATTTTAAACTTCTCATTGGTGCACAGTTTCTGTGAAGTCCCAGTTGAAAGTGGGAAAGATAGGGGTGGGGTGGGGTCCTCAGGTGGATTAATAAACACAAGGATTAGAGGGTAGGCAACAGATTTTTTTTTTTGTTTTTTAGAGACAGGGTCTCACTCTGTTGCCCAGGCTGAAGTGTAGTGGCACAATCATAGCTCACTTCAGCCTCATACTCTTGGCTTCAATCGATCCTCCTGCCTCAGCCTTTCGAGGAGCTGAAACTACAGGTGCATGCCACCATGCCCAGCTAATTTTTAAATTTTTTGTAGAGATGGGGTCTTACTATGTTGCCCAGGCTGGTGTCAAACTCCTGATCTCAAGCAATCCTCTCACCTTGGCCTCCTTAAGTGGTGAGATTACAGGCATGAGCCACCACACACAGCCGGGCAACAGAATTTTTTTTTTTTCTTTTTTCAATTATTTATTTTTACAATTGACAAATAAAAAGTGTATATATTTGTTGTGTACAATATGATGTTTTAAATATGTATGCATTGTGGAATGGCTAAATTGAGCTAACATATGCATTACCTCATGTACTTATCATTTCTTTGTGGTGAGAACACTTAAAATCTACTCTTAGCGATTTTCAACACCACTGTATATTGTTATTAATAGTCACTATGTTATACAATAGATGGCTTGAATTTATTCCTCCTAACTGAAATTTTGTATCCTTTGACCAACGTCTCCCCACCCACCCTACCACTCCCAGCTCCTGGTAACCACCATTCTACTCTCTGCTTCTGTTAGTTCAGTTCTTTTTTTTTTTCTTTTTTTTTCATTTCAGCAAATTATGGGTGTACATATGTTTAGGTTACGTGTGTTGCCCTTGGTTCCCCCCCCCACCAAAGTCCGTGTTTCAAATATGTCCATCCTTCGGGTCGGGCAACAGAATTTTAAAAACCAAAATGGATAGGTCATAGAGAATAAGAGGAATAAAGGAGAAAGAGAAAAGTTTAGGAAAATGCCCTGAACCTAAATGGGAAACTGGGTGCCCTATGGACAAGGACTCAAGGAAATGTCTGTTGGGGGTGTCTGGAAAAAGCTTTCTTTTTCACTAAAATAGACACAGAACAGGATATGACCCATTTCTTTGGCCTTAATGTTGGCCCATGTGTTTCCCAAAACTGTGGCAGCATCTTCCAATTATGAGGAGATGTGCCTCAGGGTCAAGGCAACTCGAGGAGGATGGTAGAGCCTGAAGATATGCATATCTTCCTATATACTTTAAGTCGCCTCCAGATTACCGACAGTATTATTTAATTCTGAACTTCAGGACGTTTCTATATTAACAATTTATTCTAGATGAGAACTTAATTGCAAATCTTGGAACTTAATTGAGATCTTAGAAATTTAACCTAAAAACTGTACCTCACAGATTGAAAAAAACCCCAAAACTATAAAAGTGAATTCACACAGACTAGACTTCAATGTCTTAGACAAGTGAGGCCCGGCAAGTTATTTGACTTTTAAGCCTCAGAAAATGGTACCAGGATCCATTCAGTTGCTCAAGCCAGAAACCCAGGAGTCATTCTTGGTTTTATTCTTTTCCTCATTCCTGACATCCAGGCCATCATTAAGTCCCGTCACTGTTACCTGTAAAACACATCTTAAGCCCTTCTCTTGTTCTCAGTGCGTTGACTCTAGTCCAAGCCACCGTCGTTGCAGCCAGTGGACTACTGCAGTGGTCCGGGTGAGAAACAGTGGTAGCAGGTGCTGCGAGACTTGGCCCACCTGTCCAATGTCAGGTCACACCACTCTTGCCCTTGCCCAAGGCTCCCTCCTGCCGTCCGCACATGCCAAACCTTTTGTCGTTTTTCGGCCTTTGTACTCGCTGTTCCCTCTGCCTGGCATGTTCCCCTGTCCTTGACATTGGGCTGATTAATCTATACAGTGATGTCTTAGCTCAAGTGTGACAACTTCAGACAGTCCTTCTCTGACAGGAGTTGTATCTCCTCTTTAGTTCCTTTATTGCCCTTACAATACAGTTATCTTGCTTATTTGCTTAAGCTAGTTATTTAGTGCCAATCTTCCCCTATAGAATATAAACTTCACAACGGCAGGGATGTTGTCTCCTTATTTTCCCCACTATCATGCTGATGTCCAGAATATCCCAAGCACTCTATTTTTGCTCAATAAACAAATTAATAGATGAATGAATAAACATTTGCATGTAATTTCTGACCTAACATTATGCTGATTTCTTGCTCTGACAGGTCAACCCAGTTCAGTACCACACTGAACACCATTGTCCAGCTATTGCCGTACAGAGAGCTACTCAGCTGTAGCAAAATACACTTTACAAATTGATCAAAACATGACAACTCTCCTGTACATGTACGACACATGCTCACACACACACACACTGCCGGTAAGTGGACAGAAATTCCAGCCCAGGTGTGTGCCAAGTTCTTTCCTCTAGTCCAGGATCCCGGTTGAGTGCAAATGAAACATGGGGGGCCGGGCTCCTATCCTCACCACACCTTCCAAAGCCGGGCACCTTGTGCAGTGATAAGGTGCACCACGTTGGTCATTATGTGAACAGTCTGTGTCCGTTTCTGAACTCAATTTGTACTCAGCAAAATGGGCACAGTTTTGTGTTGGCCTGATAATTCTTGTTTTCCTTAGGGAAAATACATAAATGCAAATTATTCATCAGTCTATTTCTCTAAACCAACATTCTCCCTTCTGATTTAATTTCTGGGATGCAGAGTAAAGGTACACAAAAAAACTATTTTAGACTGATCTAAATATTTTGGTTGTATACTATTAGGCACTTAATTCATTTGATGAGTTAAGCTTTAGAAAAATGTAAATTCTAATGAAAGTTAAGTAACTCAGGGTATCTCAGGTATCTTTTAAACTGTTAGTTTTTGTTTTCTCAGTTAAATTCATAAGAAAGTAGTAATAAAAATTTGTTCAGCACTATAAATTCCACTAAGTGGCTCACAAACACACCTGCAGATGATTTTTGAACATGCAGGGTAAGTAGGGCAGGTGTTATTGTTCCTTCTAAGCAGATGAAGAAAATGGGGTCAGAAACCTCAAGTGTCTTATCATTGATTACACTGCTCAGTGCATATGTACTGGACAACCAAATAACTAAAAAACCTGTGAATCCACAATTACTACTTTAGTAATAATAACAATGATAGACCCTACTGCTTCAGCATTTTATTTACATAATATAACTAACCTCTCTGGAACTGAAACACAGGAAGCTTGGATTAGTTAACCTCTAGGCCCCCTTCAGCTGGAATATTTTGCAGACGTTGAATTGGAATTGCAAACTCCAGCGACTTCAGGAAAGCAGGTCAGATGTAAAAAAAAAAAAAAAAATCTCATGGCCCCCTTGGAGTAGCTTTACCCTGCTATTTTTGCTAGGAATGTGGGTTCTGAAATATTTTTCTACTCCAAGAAAGTGCAAACACAATGATAAGTGACAACAGACATCAGGTTTCAGTGTTGGGGCCAACTGGAGAACACACACTAACAGGGCAGCAGTTCCTCAGCAATGAAAATAGTTGCCATGTGGGAATATAGGTCCATTGTGAATAGATCCTCAGATTTTTCAAGGCAAGTCATTTTTATGTGAACTCTCCTAATTTTTAAATATTGTTAACTTTTATTTTAAAAAATAGTGCAAGCCAAGCAAAAGGCAACTGTGAGTTAAATCTGGGCTAGCATCTGGTGACCCTGTGTTCTTGAGCTTTGTAAAAATGATTCTTCACAGTATACTTTTGTATAACAGTAGTGATGACAGTGAAACCTTATACTTAAGGTAAGTGTTTTCTTACCTATTCTGGCATTCAATTCTCAAAACTCATCAGACAGGGTGGAATTATCTCGCCCACTTTATAAGTGCATAAGGTGGGCAAAGAGATCTTAGGTATTTGTTTAAGGTCATGTGGTTATTTAGGTAAAGTGGAGAAGGGAGAGGATGACACCAGAGACCTGGGTTCTGCAGCCGAGGGCAACGTTTGCATCACATCTCAAGGCTGCCCAGCCACCAACGACTGCATATCACATATAATTCCATTTCTACATCTTGTTTATGAATCTTTGACTCTTTAGACTGAAAGTCCCTTTTAGGGCCATGGAAATGCCTTATTCATTGCTGTATTCTTACCACAGTGCTTTGTGCAATGCACAGACTCATAATGCTGAGGCAGAGGCTAATGATTGGGGTGGGGGGGGAAATGGGGGTGCTTTTCAATTTATACCACCTACTGATTGTCCTTTTTATACAATTTACACCTTGGTACTATGTAAATATATATACTCTAACCACGCTAATATATATGCTCTTATTTTTAAAAAATATTATTAAATAACAGGGTTATCTAGGTGATGAGATTTTGGACCTTTTTGTTTTCTTCTTTATACTTGTCTGTTTTAAGATGAATTTAATGTTATTTAAAACTATAATTTATTCACAATGTTTCAGGAGCATATTTACTACATAAGGCAAAGTATACAAGATATAAAACAGAAAAAAAAAAAAAACCAGAACAATCCCGGTTATAGAGAGTAAGACGGTACAGATAGAAAAAGGCTTAGAGGGCTGAGTGTGGTGGCTCA